GTTCCTCGAAACGATACAGCATGGCGAAGTACTGCGGGACCAGGTTTCCATTGGCCGCGCAGTACGTTCGGCGGTCGTCTTGGGCCGCCCTGGCCGCTTCCAGGCGCTGCTCCTTGGTCCACGGTCCGTTGCCCTGAGCAGCTGATCCTGCTGCATTCGGGGCAGTGCCAGAAGGGTGGGCGGTCCTCTGTGAGGCCGAGCCGAAAGAGGACCGTCGGTCGCTAGAGGCAGGGTCAATGGAGGGGCGAGCCCTGGTCAAGACAGTGCCAGAAGGACCAGGGGCGCCTAGTATGGCTGAGGTCTGTAGGTTGAGGGCCTCGATCCTCTCTTGAAGGGCCAAAAGCTCTTGACGCTTTTGCTCCTGTTCGGCCGCAAGGCGAGCGCTCTCATCTCGGGCCCTTCTTGCCTCTGCCCATCGAGTGGCTGCCTCTGCCAAGAAGGCCTTCTTCTCTAATTCTCTTTCGACCTTCCTGATAAAATCCGAGGAGGCACAGGCTCTGACGCGTGCGTCAGGATGTTCTGTGAAGTTCAGAACGTCCTGAAATGCCAGGCACTCGGCCTGCTCGGCGGCTAGCCTCGCTCGGCGGGCACTGCGGGCAGCAGCCTCCACGGCGGCCCAGCGCTCCGGCCAGCTGATGTTTTCTTCATCCTGGACTTCCTGGGCCAATGCCTCTGGAGTCGAGGAGGAGGCAGTGCTGCCCATCAGCATACGCCCTTCGACTGGGGCTGCTGCGGGAGTATTGTTGCCCGCAGGTTGGCCTTGCCTTTATGTCCAGCACTGCAGAAGGTCGCTGATGCTGGGTACTCCGGGTGCGGGAGCGTCTTGGGGATCGCCCAACGACAAGAGCTGCTGGGCGACCCAGTTCTGGAGCCTCAGCATCGCTTCCATCGGTCCTTCCAAGGTGAGGGTGACTCTCTCCTGGTTCTTCTTGACAGGCAGCATCCTCTGCAAAGCGTTGGAATGATGGAGCGATATAGGGCATAATAAAAAAAAATAGTGGTCAGGTCAAGCGAGCAGAAGCAGCAGGAAGCATAAGCTGTGAGAAGGGTTAAAAGCAGAAGCAAGAGTAGCCGGGAGCGGTTTGAAAAAAAAACATAGCTTAAGCGTCGCGCTTGTTTCTTGCGCGTAAGCGTCGGGGCGAAGCCGCGACAGGTGGCGGAGCCGCCTTTTTCAAGCCAAGTGGCCGTCCTCGCTTGCGCGGAACGGCTACTATCGGATCTGGCAAGGCCCGGCTCTTATTAAGCTGAATTGAGGTGTCAGCCGACGGAGAAGGTGAAGGGGCCACTACTGATTCATTGGCCTTAGACTGCTCAGCAGCCTGGTCATCCAAGAGTTTTTCGGTTTCACTCTCAGAGGCGTCTCCGCCGTCAAATGTCTCACTTGTAGGGAACTGCTCGTCATCGAAGCAAGGCTTTAAGTCGCATACGGCCACCTTTCCGATATCAACCCCATCTTCCGTTTGGAGTTGATACGAGTTCATGCCGAGGCGGGTCGTTACATCAAAAGGCCCTGCGTATTTAGAACAAAGCTTAGCAGCTATGGCCTTGGCAGCAGAAGAGAGCACGCGATTTCTCGCTCATACTTTATCGCCCCCGCCATAATCGATGTCGCGATGTTTCTGGTTATAGTACTTCTCCTGCCTGGCTTGAGTAGTCTTAGAGTTTTCGAGCGTGTTTGCTCGAAAATCGTCGAGTTTGCTCATGCGGGAGTGCCAGTCAGCTCGAGCGGCAGCCTCGAGCTGTTCAACAGCTGCGCGCTCCTCCGGGCGTCGAGCATTACTTGGCGGCTCTGGGTGCCGCCCGTAGTTAAGAAAAGCCGGGCTAGAGCGTGTAGCTTCATGCATGGCCGTGTTATAAGCAAACGCGTGCTCGTCAATCAGCTCATCCCATCGAGTGTGATTCTCGATGAATGCAGCAATCATGGTTTTGACTGTGCGATTGACCTGCTCTGTCGGGTTTGATTTTGGTGAATACGGAGCGCAGGTCCCATGGACAACTCCATGAGCCCCTAAAAACGAATCAACCATCGTGTTTTTAAAAGGCGTGCCATTGTCAGACAGGAATCGTTCCGGAATCCCGAAACGTAAGAAAATACGATGGTTAATTTCCTTTTTAATTGTCTTGGCATTGGCCTTACGTACCAGGATGCATTCTATCCACCTAGTGAAAACATCCATGAAAATCAATAGATGTTCATGGCCTTGAGGCGAGCGAGAGAAAGGGCCCATCAGATCGCCGCAGACGACCTCCCATGGACGGGTGACAATATGTTTGCCCATAAGTCCAGCGGGCGGCTTTTGCTCAACTTTCATTTGCTGGCAAACTTGACAGTTGCGTACGAAATGTGCAACGTCTTTGTAAAGGGCCGGCCAATAATAGCGGAGCACTGCCCTTTGGTGGGTCTTATAGCGGCCGAGATGCCCGGCCGTAGGCTCATCATGGCATTCCGCGAGAACTTGCTCGCGCTGTTCCCGCGGAAGCACTAACTTCCACGCTTCCTCGTCGTGGCCCATCAAGTCGTCGACGATAGGGTCCAGCCGGTAAACAAACAAGCGGCTGCCGACGATTTTCCAATAGGGATGAGCCCGCGGCTCGTCGACTACTTGCTTGAACTTGCACAAATACCACTTATCTTTAGTGGGCTCGTCGACAATGAGGGAGGCGAGGGAAGTTTCGACGTCCTCATCGGTCTCGTACATACGAGACAGTGTATCAGACTTCGCATCAGACTTCGGCATCTTTCGATGCACGATGTCAAATTCGTAGGCCTGCAGGCGCAACGACCATCGGCCTAGCTTGCCGTTTGGGCTTCTCAAAGGGTCTAGCCGGATAAGATGGTCGAATGTGCCCTTGACGATTTCGGAAAAGTGATTACACCATCTTGTTCGTCTTGAAAAATGATGAAGATCCCTAGATTTTCAGACCCCAAAATGCCCTAGGGACCCCAAAAAGTCGCAAATAGTGACTTTCAGTTTTCTGACGATATCTCTGTCAATTTTTGAGCTAGAAAATTTTTTTTTTTGCATTTTGTAGGGTTTTTGAAGCCCGACAAAATGATGCTATTCAAAAATTTTGGCGCGAAATTCAAAATTTTACAGCCGTTTGAAAATTTTGAAATTGAATAAAAAAAAAACAAAGACAGACGCATCGCTGAAAAAAATATATATTGTGTATTTTCAACTCAAAAATGCCTGTGAATTTTTTCAGATTTTTAAAAGTGGTGGAACGATCTTCAAAAAAATCGAAACCACAAAAAAACTCAGTTTTTTGCTCCTAGCCCTTTTAGGTTATGTTCTATCACATAATCGACAACATTTTTGAATTCTACGGGAAAAAATACATCGAAAACATGTATCCTACATTCAGAAATAATTTTTTTTTACCCGTCGATCGGGAAGGAATGAAGGTCTATACAGTGAACACGGCGAACCTGCGTAGGAAATCTTTTGTTTCGCTGAATTTTTGGTGGGCTTTGATGATTTCACGGCATTTCAAGCTCATTTTCCATCCATTTTTTCCCCTGGAATACGATAGTGCTATCAGTTTCATAATACTACATAACCTTTGAGTGGTACAAGCCGAAAACCGTATGTTACAGTGAATTTTTCATTCTAACAGAACTTGAGTAGGTTTTATAATATGACCGATAGCACTGTCTCAATCTACGTGAAAAAATACATCGAAAACATATATCAAAAACATATACCAAGCTGTAAAATAATTTTGAGCCGATCATGAACACCCAAGAAATATATAGGGGCAATCAGCCGGCAAGAGACTTATTCGTTCCACAAAATCTTGTAAGCTTTTTATACCGTCATTTATTGTAAAGCATGAGATTCTTACTGAGATTGGGAAAAAATGTAAGTACACACAAAATATGTATGCTGTAATTTATGATTTTTATAGAATCATCAATTTAACATCAACAAACTTGAGATCAACGAAAATTCACAGTTCGTGCTGTTCGACAGTATATTAAACAAAATTATCTTACATTGCGCGATAATTATTCTAATCATAGCTGGTTGCATTTCTTATAAAGATACTAAAATTGCAATGGAGTAACTGCTGCATACTTGAACCTTTCATGTGCATCTGCATTCTATTCACTGTGCAGGCTGTAATTAATTACACGACGATGAAAAATCAATGGTACTCAATTTTTTGGCAAAAGATTTTTTTGAACTTTGAAGGCTTACCTGAGTTGGCTATCACCTTCATCACGGGTAAGTAAAGTGTCAATCCTACTCTTCATCACTGTCACCTTCAATGACAGGCGTTACCTGTTCGCGTTCAAAAATCTTGGTGAGAATTTCGGCAGGTCTTAAAATTTTGGACAGGTATCTACCGTGCGACAGGTAGTAGATGACTGCAGCCACGTGAGAGCAGCAGCCGATGGTTCGCATGCCGTTGGAACATTCACAATAATGACGTGAAATTCCAGCGTAGCCGATTGAATCTGGCTTGTAGTCAATGTAACAATTGTAGTTTCGTCGAGAAATATGCCTAGATCTCACTTGTACCTTGATGATATTAATAGTTGCTTTGCAATAACTCAAATTCAACTCGTTTTGATCGTTCATCATTTCGGCTAGGTAAGAAATTGTTCGCTGAAGTTGGTACGTGCCTGTGAAAAACTTGATGAGATCCTGTTCTGTCATTTCAGGGAAATCAAGGACTTCAGAAGATTTCAATTGTATGAACTGACTCTTTCTTCGGCCCCAATGTGCTGTATGAGCTTCAACTGCCAAACTATTTTCATTTGAACTTTTCGAAAGAACATATTCTGCTAATTCTTCATCAAGAGAAGCCCTTGACACTAATCGTTTTCCGAATTCATTGATTAGAAAGCAAACAATTTTACAATACAGTCCAGCTTTGGGTAAGTATCGATTATCCAGCTGTTGATGGAAAAACTTGTACTTCTGAGCAACAATACCATGCACAGCTTCGACAACCCAACGAAGCATAGTGACGAGTCGTGATTCGTTTGCTTCTTAAGCCGTCAATTGCTTGTCTTTTTTATTTTTCAACGATGGCATCAAAACCCGATATTTCTCATCTTCTAATCTACTCTGAATGTCACGGAATCCACGATCGAGCACAAAAACGTCATTTTCTTTGCACATCAATTTCTTCAAATCACTTTGATCTTCAGCTAATAGAGAACCCAAAATCGTAGCGTCATTCTCCGTAGCATAAAAAGGCCCCAACACGTCTACAACATAACCATCTAAAGCACAAAGCGTGAACGGTTTACACAAAGGAAGTTTTTTGTGCCCCGAATATGATTTCCTCTGATACTCATTATTAGAGCTCTTTTGATGTTTTATGTAAGTACCGTCACCAACGAGTCCAAGATTTAGATCGCTGACGTTGTGAAGTTTATTCAGAAGAGGTGTTGTATGATCACGAATCAGTTGGTCATGATTTGCAGCCTTTAGTCCGAAACGGGAGGGCAAGACATCTTTTTCAAAAGAATCGAGAATAGACGTCGAAAAATCTGAGACTTGGTGATGTCTTTCTAGTCCGAGGATGGAACAAATCATTTCATTCGAATTTCCGGTACGCAACCTGAATAAAAAAACAACAAGTGCTTGTGTTACAGTTCGATTGTCCGAATTTCTCAGAGAAGTCATCATATCCCGTAATTTGATTATTTGTTCCCAAGTAAGTCCAGTGAATGTGTAAATGCGTTCTTCAGGAATTGAAAAATCAGCAATTCTATCCATTAGTTCTCTATCCGAATCTATGCTCAACTTATTAAGCAATTTTGTTAAATCTGATGCTTTGATAGAGGACGAATGAGCAACAACTCTCAAGTCTTTTATTTCATCTGGATAAAGTCGATTTTTCAAAAGGTGTTGATGACAGCATCGATTTCCCTGTGGGATAAAAATTCCCGTTTCTGAAAAAAGCTGCTTACGCGCTTCAAAAGGAATGTTAATGATGCTTGATTCTTTTCCACATATAAAGCAGTATGCGTGAGTAGAAACTACTCTCTTATAAGGTAGTTCAATTGATTCTTCCGCAAGGGGTTTTTGAACTTTGGGAGGTTCATAAACTGGATCTTTCTTTTCTACTACAGTTGGAGATTCAGAAGACAGCACTTGACTATCTGGCGGAGAAACTGTTGTCGTTTCTTTGCGTATTTTTGACAAAGAGAAACAAACCCCGGACCAACATTTGCTACACAAAACATTTCCAACATCAATGGGGATATCAAGAATATCCTTTATTTTATCAGCATCATCGACTGTACCCACTGTGTACTTGAGTCCAACCATTTTCTTTGTTGAAATAGAACATTCTATACATTTGTCATTCATTGCGGATATAATACTGAGAATCTAAAAAAAGAGAATGATATAAACATGTTGATGTAAGTTTTGATGATTCTTATTAAGGTTAAGGGTATAGGCGTGTCGAGATTTGTTGAAAAATTTTGCAATTATCAAAATTTTTTTCATTACGTATTTTCATTCCTCAACTACTAAACTTAAAGGAAAAAAAAATCGGTAGCCCAAATGATTATTTTAGGTACCGCAATTAATCGACACAAGAAGTGTTTTTGAAAATGTCAATTTTCCATATTTCACTAATTTTATCTTATTTGAACGATTATAGGATGAAATACAACAGATTAGTATTAGAGTACTTTTTATATTACATTGTGAGTATAAAAAATAATCTTGACATTTCAAAAGTGCTTCAATTCTGTAAATATACTCGACTATAATACATGTATAATTCGTTTTTTACATTCAAGTTGAAGAGATTCATGTAGCTGGTAGGAAATAATTATCGAATGTTATCAAAATAAGAGGACCAAGTAAGCTTTTCGAATGCCATGATGGGCAGTAAAAGTTGGTCCGAATGCTATTGTGTTGTCGCTAAATAGTTGTAGAGTGAAAAACCCAAATCTAGAATTGGGTTCAGAAATAGTTATTCTTGAAAACTGTCATACGGTTTGGCATAAGAATGGGTTGTTATATTTTAAAAGTATGAAAAACATTGAAAATTAGAAAAAATTGATGGTTTTCTGGAGTTTTTCGATGACTAATGCTCCAACTTTTGATATTTTGAATACGAATAAAAATCATATGACAGATTTTTAGCTTAAGTATTACTCTTTTAGAAAATCTTTAAAGGAAGAATCTTGATCAAGTTATTCATTACAAACCTATTTCAATGATCGTCATTATATGACATACATGTAGACATTTGAGTTGTTTAACTCAACTTAAATAATTTTTGGACCATATTTTTGGAATGCTTTTGTACCAGAAATACAATGATGATAAAAGAAATATTGAAAATTATTTAAGTTTGAAGTTGGTATCTCGACCTGCCTATACCCTTGAGTGTCTGTATCACCTATCAGTTAAGGGGGTATCCCTCAATAAATCGCAGAAAATCGACGAAAACTTTGGGAATTTTTTAAAAGAAAACTATTCAATATTTTTTCATGAAATTTAGACTGTATTTTATTGAAATTTTAACAAATTAGAAAAAATTTTTTTTAGAGAAATATTGTAATAAATAAATGTGCAGTACTCGTTCAAAGTTATAAACTTTTTTTTTTCCTTTTTGGCGGTTCAAATCCTGGCTTTCCAATCACTCTGAAACATACAGAAAACATTTTTTTAGTTTCATTAGACATATTTCTCGTTGATGAACCTAAATTTATTGCTCGGAAAAATTATTTAACAAAATGGCGGACTTTTAAAAAAAAAATATATTTTTTTTTTTATTGTTCATGCAAAAAAGCGGTTAACAAACAATATTTGACAGAATTTTATAGGTACATCGACGAGATTATTTGATTTCCGTTCAAATGGTATTTTTTTTTTTTTTTAAGTTGAAAATTCGCTGAGTAAGAGCGCCCGCCAAATCGACAAATCGAAAAAAAAATGATTCGGAGATAAACGCGTTTAAAGTTTGCGGCAGGCGAAAACGGCATTTTTTTTCATACTCACATCGAATAAAATTGGTTTTCACTCAATCAGCAATACCAGCACCATAAAGGATACCTTCTTCTTCATCATACTGTTGATTTGACTTCGCAGCTTTTAGTTTTTTAGCAGTCCTAGCTGCTTTTGTGGATTCTTGGCTGCGGATTTCTTGACGCTTCACGCGCTCATCGTCTGCGCTCTTCGCGTAGTTGGCTGTGGATAGCCCGATCTTGAACTGCAGCGATTTCATAATTCTTAGTACACCATAGAATCCGTCATTGAAGAGTACAGCAGCTGTATAAGCGGCAATTTCAACAGTTTTTGGCCCACAGTGTAAATGCTTCGGAGCTAATCGCCAAATGACTGAGTTGAAACTTTCGTTTGCATTTTGCGTGTAGCCACCTAAGCATCTTTTCAATAAATCATCTTTCGATTAAACTTGATAAATCGGGATTAAATGTTTTTGTACATCTGGGTGTAGTGGAGCTGGATGCTCATAAACATCCTACTTGCTCGCCTTCTTCAGTTGAGAATTGATTACTGCGGAAAGATCTTCGTCTCTTTGCGGCACGATAGCCTTCTTCTTTTTCGCCCTTAGGATAACTAGTACTCATTTTCAAATTGTGAAAACTAGAAACACGATGCTCACTACCCAAAAGCCGAAATAAAACTGAGCAAACTGTAGTAACGGTCTCCCAAACGAATCCCTACCTTTCCCCAGAAATCTTTGTACCTACTATGCTACACCTAGCCTGACCCTGTAAACGAACGTACAGTTTATACAAAGGAAGATCGAGAAACATCTAATCCATTGTATATTATAAGTAGGAAGCGAACTGCAGCGCACCGCCCAGCGGGGCGCCTTGCCGCTCGAGCGCGCAGCTGCCTACCTGCTCTGCGCGCCAGAGTTTCTATACGAAAATAGCTATAGCAGCTGAACCGCTCTGAATTTCGGTCCAATATTTTAACAGCACATTCTTGAAATGATGTACTTTCGATCTATGCAAAAAAAAAAAAGAAAAGACTTTTTTCATCGATCTATTGAGGGATATCCCCTTAACATGTCAAAAAAAAGTTATTATAATAAGTGTGTTTAAAATCATCAAACTATAAAGAGTTTGACCCTTGAACCAATATTAGTTAACAGATAAGTGACTTATTGAATATTTTGATTTGCAATCGTAAAAATAGTGAACGCAAAGTGTTTACTTGAGAATAAATGTTGATAAAAATAATGAAATAATTTATCATTCGATAGTTATAGACTGATGTGTGTCAAGTCAAGCACAGAATACCCTACTTGAGAGTGTGCAGTTGTTCAGAAAACTTATTGCGATTATAGTTATCCGGTAAATTGATTTACTAGTAAGATTAAATTTCAAAACCAGCTGTTAATCAATATCAGTTTTGAATAGGCAATATGAGTATGTAGCAAAATAAGTTTGCATTAAATTAAAATTTTCTAAATGACATTTATTTCTGACTGCAAGTTATATCTATTAAGTGTCATTACAAATCATTCAGTTTTCAGCAAGCCGCAAGAGCCGAGCAGAGGTGATGTAGTTTTTAGTCGTATCAGCAAGTACATATTGTACAAAATATATTTCATGGACCTTTTATTATAAAACTATTATCCAACTGAAAATGTAACAAGCCAGCTTTGCATCAACAAAATCAATGCGTGTATTCAAACATTTCTTTTCCAATCTAGGTTTAGTTGAACAGTACCCAAATAGTATTATAACTTTCAAATGCTAGCTAAAAATTCAATCAACTACTGTTAGAAAAAAACTTACTTTTTTCTACATACATACAAGAGAATACATGGTTGGTTAGACTCATTGAACTTATTTTATCAATTAATCTCCAATATTTGTATACCAAGAGTAAATGTCTTATTTATTTATTTATATTAAGTATTTATACATGAACATTACATTTACAATGAAACATTACATTTTACATTTATACATGAACACTGGTAAGCAGTATAACCAAGTTAATATAATCAAGTAGAAAGAAACCTTTCTATTATACTCACAGTAAAGAATAATACAATCCACTCAATATGCTTTTCAATGCTCTGCTTTAAAAATATGTAAATACAATAATTTTAAGGATGAAACGTCAACAATAACATCAGATACCGTTATTAGAAAGAAACAGCCGAGGTGTAAAAACTTTTTAAACAGCCGGTCACCATGTAATTGTTCAGGATATATCAACATAAGGGCGCATACACGTTTTCCATAAATACTTGCAAACTGACGTTTGATAGCTTGGAAGATTGCTCTTGAATTCTTGAAATGCTCCTTCGGAAAAACGGTTTGCTCACTTCACAAATGTAGCTCAGCACAATTTATCAACTATTCTCAATTTTAATACCAACTCATCACGCAATTATAGAATACAACAATTACAACTCATGCTTCGGTATTTGACGCACCGATGAATATTTATATTCATATGTAGGGTCTTATTGACAATTGAGATATGGCACATGCGCACTGGGCATTGCGCATATGCCATATCATACATTGTATACTGATTTTCACTACTCTGTAATCAATTTTGATGGTCAAAATCGGCGCATATCGCACTGGGCAACGCCCTATTGCGCATGTGCTACATCTCATAAGTTTCATATAACGCTTCATAATTTTGAATAAGAATGAAAATAGAAAAGCTTCCATCTTGGTTGTTTATAATAGAAAAATATTTTATTACTAAACAATAGAACAAAGAGGTCGATCAGCGTAGAAAAATGGCTCATTTATTAAATTGATATTGGTATTTCGTTTGTACCACTTTGAGGTTGTGTAGTATTATGAAACTGATAGCACTATCGTATTCCAGGGGAAAAAATGGATGGAAAATGAGCTTGAAACGTTGTGAAATCATCAAAGCCCACCAAAAATGCAGCGAAACAAAAGATTTCCTACGCAGGTTCGCCGTGTTCACTGTATAGACCTTCATTCCTTCCCGATCGACGGGTAAAAAAAAAATTATTTCTGAATGTAGGATACATGTTTTTGATGTATTTTTTCCCGTAGAATTCAAAAATGTTGTCGATTATGTGATAGAACATAACCTAAAAGGGCTAGGAGCAAAAAACTGAGTTTTTTTGTGGTTTCGATTTTTTTGAAGATCGTTCCACCACTTTTAAAAATCTGAAAAAATTCACAGGCATTTTTGAGTTGAAAATACACAATATATATTTTTTTCAGCGATGCGTCTGTCTTTGTTTTTTTTTTATTCAATTTCAAAATTTTCAAACGGCTGTAAAATTTTGAATTTCGCGCCAAAATTTTTGAATAGCATCATTTTGTCGGGCTTCAAAAACCCTACAAAATGCAAAAAAAAAAATTTTCTAG